TTTTTCTATCTCTTTTTTGCGGTTCATTTTCTTTTCCTTTGCAGCAGACAGAAAGCAAAAAAGACATTTCACGATTCAAGATTCTGGAATAAAGCAAGTCAAAAAGTTAACACTTATTTTACATGAATGATAATATCATTATACACTCAACTGCCAAATGTAAATGGTACAAGAAAAAAGAAGAGGAAAAATCTCTTTGGATTGACAGTTTTGTTTGGAATTAATTTTGCCATCATTTTTGATTTGCAACTGTATTTCATGTGATTAAGCCGAGACAACTCTTGTCCTGTCAGACGATGAGACGATATTGCAGGAGGCAAAAAACGAGACGAATCTTTGAATAGTTTTTTGGTAATACAAGAGTGAAGACAGATTTGAAATTGAAAATTGGTTGCTCTTTAAAGAGTTAAATTAAATTTCAAACTTTTCATTTCTTGATTTGAAGGAAAGAAAGGAAAATGACATTTCATAATCAATAAACATTTTGCCACTTGCCAGATGAAGAAGAAAATTATTCATAAATTTCCTCTCTTATTTCATCAAGTTGAACATCTTTATTGTTGATCTTGTTCCATGTTCAATGGTTTACCTTTTCATCTTGACTGACTCAAGTGGCTTCCTTTATTATTAAATTGTGACGTTGAGTTGTTATCGATTAGTTTCAAGTTTGATTAGGTGTTTTCTAGCTTGACCAGCCAATCGTAATCGTTTTATTATTAATATACATCTATTGAGGTAAAATTACATGGAAAAGTTGGAAAAGAAGGAAAGAAAATCATGAAAATTCTCGAGACTTAATCATCTACTGATGATGAATAATTTCATTCAATTGTCAGTCAGAATATTGATTGTTCTGGTTACCCAATTGCCCGAGGATTTGTTGACCTTGACCTGATTTGTACTCAAAGTTGTTCAGCAAGACTACCAACTACAAGTCAAACATATGCATTACAATAGTCTTGTCGAGTTTACATGTAAAGAGTTTTGTTGAAACAAGAAATGATTTTCATCCAAATGAAAACAATAAGAAACAACTAATTAAATGAAGTTATTTGAATAGTTTTTTTCACTTCACAAAGAGTGATGAGAATCGAATTTCTTTTTTTTCTTTTTTTACTTCGGTTCATGTTAAAAATAGCGCAACTTTATTTACACTCATTTTCACAGATTTGTCAAAGGTAAATCTAGATGGTAAAACTGATGAAGATGAACAACAAAAGGTATATCAGATGGAAGATAACAAGTTCGAGTTTATCTTCTTATTTTATCTCTTTTGTTTTTCTTCCTTTTCTTCAGACTAACAGGTTTTCTGCTTTTATCTCCTCCTTCCCTGTTGCTGTTCACCAATTTCATAGAGTGTAAGAAAACTGTCAAGAAGAAGGTAAAGTAAAAAAGTCTTTACCAGTAGGGATTTATTATTGAATAATCAACTTGATTCAAGAATGTGAAACAAAATGCTATCGGAGAGAAGCAGAAACAAAGTTTTCCCTGTAAATCTGTTTAAAACGAATCAGAAAGGATGAATGAGTTTAAAAAGAGTGATGAACAACAAGGCAATAGAAAGGTATAAAAACAAGAAAAGATCATCATTTTCATCATCTCTGCATGACCATGTTTTTAGATTCATCTGAGTTATTTATTTTTTCATTTCAACCTGTTTACTCTTCATGAACCCAAATCTTTTTTTTCATCTTTCCATCTCATTCTCAGCATCCTTTGGTTACTTTTTTACCCTCTTTCATAGGAACAGAAGCCGACTGATAACACTGAGAATAAGATGATGATGCTATAAAAAAGATCGAAAAAGAGACAAAAAATGAGAATAAAAGGGAAATTTCACTGAAGTACATGATTGATGCTATATTTTAATCTCGAAGGAAATACTTTTATCGCAGTGAACTAAAATAGAAACAGTTTGGCAAAATGAAGATAATTAACGAAGTGAAATGAAGAGAAAATATTGATTTAATTTTAACAATTTTCAGTCAACAAAGTTCACAACTGTCAACTTTGATTTCATCTGTGACAAGATCAAATGCTGAGAGGTAAAAATAATATAATGATTCTCAGATATCAATAATGTGTTACAGAAGCAAAATATGCATAGTTGAATGAGCAGCTCACATCACAACATCTTGTCAGTTATCCTTACCATCTAATTGTCTTCAGTGATAAAATTTCTATCATTACATCTATCCTTTCAAATAAATGGTCAATAGTCTTTTCTCGATACTAGTCGACTAAACTTCAAGTTACAGCTCAAGCTTATTCAAGTCAAATCTATTCTAAACTTTTCCCTGTTGCCTCAGCAAATAAGTTCAAATCACAAAGACTTTGTGTACAATCAACATGTAATCCAAGTATCCAAACCCAGAACAAGATGAAGATAAAACATTGAAAAATAGCAAATAAAACACCAATTACTCTCAAAGCCTTCCTTGAACTTCCCGTAGACTCAACCATCAGTGAAAAAGTACTGATACTCGAGCAACTCGGTGAGTGCTAAGTTGAGCTTCACGGTGCTTAGACCCTCATAGCTAGACCACTAACAGAAACGTAACATTGACTTGTAACGCGATACAAATTGAAGCTTAATGATTGACCGAGATGCCAAGTAGGTTCAATGTCAACCTAGCTACTAGTCAGGAACAGGCAGCAACATCTTGCTAATTCAGCCTTTCGTGTGGCAAGACAAAATTTGGGTTTTTTACTTTCCATATTTTTCACTAACAAAAGAATCGCTTAACGAATTTTTCATGAAAATTTAACCTTCCATCTTAACATTATTTTAATGCTTGTAAATTATCTTTTATTGGACAAAAATGTATGCACATGAGAAGTGCTGTAAAGCATACATTAAAACTTTGAAAGAGTATAATGAGAATGAAATTAAGTTTCATCATCAGTAAATCATAATCACCATAATGTAGCTATTTTTACCTTCATCCAGTTCATCATCATTCTCACCTTTACCTTTTCTAACCTTTTTCTCATTTAACGTCCATCAAAAAAACCTGAAATCAAATGAGGTAAGCAACTGGGATGTAATAGAGAAAAAGTTAACATGAAATTTGATTAACCAAGCTCAATGGAATAAATAAAGTGACGATGAAAATGTAAACCAAGAGCAAGCAAAAAAAAAGAAAATGTGAAGAGAAGAAGAGAGAAAAAATAGTTTTCCAACTCATTGTTCTCATTGTTTATCAATGAACACCTTTAGGGAACATTGAGATTCTTTTATTCTTCTCACTTTAATTGTCTTTTGCACACTTTATTTTTCATCGCCATCTTTTTCATTTCCAACACACCATTAACAGGATTAAATAAAAGAGGAAAAACTTCGAGCACTCAAAGACAATAGACTACCAATTATCGCAATCAAATTACACATAAAATCAACTTAGCTTGCCATTAAAAATTGAGCACAATTCCATTCTTTTCAGGATTACGCTTCAAACTGTCATCAAAACTGATTTGCAAATTAATTTTCACAATCGACTGAATAGACAAGTCGGATTGTTCAATGTATTTGATTTTTTTCTCCATCAGAAAAGTACTTTCATTTCAACAATTAAATTCATTTTTAGTTCATTGTTTTGTTGCAATTAGAATTGAAATTGCATTTTCTAAATTCATTACTTTTCTTTCACTGGTTTTATGACGAAAAATTTCTTTCGAGTTGCGAAACGATTTCACAACATTTCGTTTAAGTTCCGTTGGTTTCAGGAAATTTCGAGCAAAATAGATGAAAATGATTCCATTTATGTTATCAACTTTTTTTGATTTATCAATGTCACTCTGTAAACATTGGAAGCTTCTGAGCTGGTATCTTGTTCATTTGTGACTTCAATGAATTCATTATACTAAACTCACAGAACTAATTCATTTGTAAAAGTGCAAGTTCAACAGAGAATGATTTCCATTCTGTTGTAAACTATCAAGGAAACCATGTGAAACTAAGTATTACATATGAAAATAATGCTGATGAAAGTCTAATGATAGTGAGTTTAATGTTAATGACGATCAAGAACATCATTGATATCACAGGGTTAAATGCATTTTCCAGCAAATCTGATGAAAAACTTGAATAAAATAGGAAAACATCTTTACATTAGTACAAATTGAGAAAAGTAAATGTCAGATTGGGATTTTGAGCAACAAGAATTTCAGTGACATCAATTAAACCATGTTCAATTGGACCAAGGTTGTAAGATTGTAGACCAAAAATGCATTCAAAACTTGCAGATTTTCGATGACCATAACATTGATCGAGTGTTCAAAACAGAGTTGACATTCGTATAAAAACCTGCACTACAAAGTCGTCCAATAACACGTCTAATTGCCATATCATAGAACCGTCGACCAGCAATGATAGAAGATAGCTTGAGTCGAACTTGATTGCACTCATTTTCGGATGCAGACTCTAATCTTCGTCTCCAATAGTGCAAAGCTTCATCTCGCTGACTTATGCGTCCAAAGGAGTCCATCGGTTCTTTTGGTAAATTTTGTGACTTTGAAGTTCCTTGGAACTGACTGATTACCAGATTGGCCAAGCTTTTGTCTCCATATTGCTGAGGATGCGAGGAAGCCACTTTTTTGACAACATGTTCATATTGCGTTTCAAGTGTCTCCTTGGTTATATCATGATGTTCAGTATCTGGCATCCAAGCAGCCGAGAACTCGTCACTCAAACAGAATGTGAAACCGGAAACATCACAATAGGTTGCCTAACCAGGTTCCCCTGGATTAGCCGATGTTATCGCATAAATGTTGATGTTTCGAGATAAAATGTTTTCAAACATTGAACCAGACTCACAGGTCTCCAAATAAAAAGTTAGTTTTCCATACATGTTATTATGGTGCATATAAGTCAAAGTTTCATTGAGATTTTGACAGGTCAATGCCGTCTGCTGAAAATAAATTGCTCCAACACTGCCATGGTCAGAAAAGTATATGAATACGCGATCATTGGGTCCTGATGTGAGTACTTTTTTCCCTTTCTAGGCAAGCTCCTTGTCGCCCTTCAAGACCTTCATGAAAGTCTCTGGATTGACATCATTGCCAGTATAGTCTTTAATGCATCCAGCATAAACATCAGTACCATTGGGTTGGTTGAAAAGTTTACCTGGAAACGGATTTTCAGGAGCATAGGCAACATCATCATATATCATGAGAACGATATTTTCAGGAAGAACACCGTGATTGATTAGAACATGATAGGCATGGCAAATGTTGGCTTGATCATTGTAGTCTGTGGCTACTCCTGCACCACCACCAACCAGAACAGCGTGTATCTGTGATGATTTGTCTGAAAAAGAATCGATCAAAACTCGCAACGAAACTTGACCAAAACAAAGTACAAGAGCTAAGTAAATGAGACTAGACTTCATTTTTGTTTTACACCAATGTTAGTGAATGAGTATTTTGTGATGATTTTTGATTATAAATACCCTTCTTTTGTTTTCAACACAAACCTGATAAATTATCGTTAACAAGTCTCATGATGTTTTGCAATATAAATACCATTTTAATCTCCAATGTACTTCAATAATCATATCGACGATAATCATATTGTTCATTGATTCACGTTTCTCTGCCAAAACCAACTTTTAATCATCAATTTGTTGAATCTCGGAGATTCAATAGAATTCGTTCAATTTAATTTCCTTGACATTTTCATAGTGTTTTTTCATTCTAAAGATGACTTTTTGTATTCACCAATCAAGACGCCATTCAAACTGACATCAATTATAATTCACATGATAAGCTTGTTAGTGCAAAGGTATTGGAAAAATTCATTTAATTATGATTAACTAAATTATGATCACCGAGTGATTTTTATATCGAAGCTAAAATTTGAAAATGCTTTTGCATCAAGCTTAAGTTATTAGATGACACATATTCTTGAAGGCTAACAATACATACTGTACAAATATAAGATAATTATTATCAATTAGATGTCCAACAATAACAGTCTTATAATCCTGATCAATCAATTCCGTTTGAAACAGAGTTTGTAAAGCAAGATTAACAGTTGCAGTTTGGATTCGAAATGCGCTGGAAAATGAATTGTAAATTTTGACAATAAAAGATGAAATGATTACATGAATAATTAATCCAATACAATCTTTGATCTGAATTTGATAACCTCTAAACATCGGGCTGAATGAAGTGAAGTGAAGTGAATTTCCAAATGCATTACAATTATTATATAAATGATGAGAAAATCCTGAAAAGCTGTTTCAGCAGTTTTAAGTTCGGCTCAGCATTGTCCAAATGTTTTTTCCTCTTTAGATAAATTTTCTATCCTGGAGTGATATTCAATAAAACAGCCCACTAAAGGTTGGAAAAAGTTTTACAAACAATTCCTCAACGAACAGAGGAACAACAGATACGATGGACATGAGAATTGCCCTTTTGTCAACAAAAAGCAATCCTTTTCTTTTTACTGAAAATTCTGATTCAACTCAACATGCAAATGGTAATTTTAAACTATCAGAGCTGAATGATGAAATTTCAAGTCACTGAAAATGGGTAAAGTGAGTGCAACAGAAAAGTGGAAAATTGAAAAAAGTGAAAAAAACGAAAGCTAACATTGTTTATTGTTTTTGATTCATGAGAAAGAGGTGAAACAAAACATGCTAATAATGAACAATAATGATTATAACGATGATAATAATGGTTAAGGTAATAGTTGTTGATGATGGTAAGAGTAAAAGCTGTCTCTTGTGAGTTTCACTTTGATGAAATGGAAAGAAAAGCAAAAGAAGAAAAATTGTGTAAAAGTAAATCTCTCATTTCTTTCAGTGTGTTGGCTCAGTGTACCATGAATAAAGTTGTGTGGTATTACATGGTGTTGGGTAAAAGCAAAAGCCACTGTCATAAACAACTTGAGAAGAGGTAAAGAAAAAAAAGTGTATTCCTTGCAATGGAAAGAGAAATCAGAATAAGAGAAAGTTCTGTAAATAACATTACATGAAGGGATCAATGGATAAGAAGAAGAAGAAAAGATGGAAGAAGAAAAAACGGAAAGAAAAAAATGGCAAGAGGAGAAAAAAGAAGCGTAAAAGTCAATGTAACCTTTCATCGAACCATGTAATAATTGTGAATTACTTGTGATGAGAGAGGAATGAAAGATAAATATTAGATGGTAAATGAAATGAGATGAAAGGGAAACTGTGAGTGGCTGATGATTTGAATGGCGAATGAATTTATGTTTAAAGAAACACTAAACTTGATGTTGTCTAAATTGGTCAATTACAATATTAGTCAGTTGTAATTGAAATGAAAGTGGCAACCAGAAAGCACAACAAATATGTTTGAAACAACTTGGACTTTGGCGACTTGCTATTAAACTCTGACCGTAGGCTAACAAGTTTCCTGTCAAATAATCAAATGAACCAATCTCAAGTTAATAAATCTGAATCTTTCCTTTTCTCTTCTTTTACTTCGTCCAACATTTTTTCTCTTTTGCATTCTATTTAACTCCCAGATAACCATTATTCTGTTACCATGTTACTTTTATCACCTTTTTCTCCTTCTCACTCCCAGTAACTAATATCATGTAATGATATCTTTTCATGATTGTAGATTATTAGATTTTTTTCTTTTTTATTTGGTTTACTTTCTCTTTTCGCCTTATTTACTCAAAGATTACATGTAACAAGTTAAAGATGTGAACACAAGGAAATGGATCATTAGACTGAAACGGAATCTGAATTAACCAGAACCAAGTTTTTATCTTTCAATTCAATTTTGGGTTACAATATTTCTTGTTTTCTCCATTGTTTTTGTTTTATTTATTGCAAACTGTTTTATTTCACCCATTAGTAGATGTTTAACAATTTTCGGTAAATTATTCACCAATCATCGGGTACATTACATGGATAATAAGTTGGTGCAAAGTTATCAAGTTCATTTCTCAGGAAAAAATCATTTGTTTGTTCGAGTTTTGTTTGTTTCGCTTGCATACACTGGCCAAGGGTTAGTCTTGATGCAACCTAGAAGAGTCAACTGTCTGGGTTGACACAAAGCTTGCTCAAGGACTAGAGACGAATAAGTGATTTCTCATGACTGATAGTCAACAGTCAACTGCATCATTTGGATTGAAATTTTTATTGAAAGTTGGGAGTGAAAACATGGTTTTGTCTCTCTTGCTTTGTTACACTTTTTATCAAGCTGGTTGGGCTGTTTACGTCAGTTGATGCATGTTCACATCAGATACAGGCCAGACAGAAACGAGTAAAAAAAATAATGCAAAGGAAAATCTGATGAAAGAGAAAAGTAAAAGCACGAGAAAAAAAACAAGCAATCAACAAACTGTTCAATCAACAATTGTACTGTTAACAGTAATGTTATTAATAACAGTTAATCAAGGTTTTGTTTTGCTTCATCAAATCAAGTGAAAATTCAATCCATCAGATTATTTCTCTTCAAGTCTATCATTTTAACATTAGTTTATTTGCTTCACTTTCTTTATCATCATCCACTTGTTCCCTCTTCATATATACACCATTATGTTAACTCTTGCCTATTTATCAACACTTTGATACTCTATTATCATTCACTTGCCAAACACTGGCACACTTTACTTTCACTTTTTCTTTTCCTATCAATTTTATTCATTCCCTGATTGTTTATTTGCTGTGATATTTTTATTCCAATTCTGGGTTTCACTTTTTCTCGTACAGTGATACATCTTGTTTGATAAATTGAACATTTTCAGGGTTAAACTTTTATCACATTTCTCTCTTTTCTCATCCATTCACTCCCAGCGCTTCTTGTATTACCAGCATGTTATCATAGTAACTTTCAAAGTAAAAGCAAATTCACATTTCCTTAAACCACTTGTTCGAAAGAGGGAGCGAGAGAAAGAGAAAAAGTGAGAAATTCAACTTTTACTTTCTCCCAACAGATACACAAGGAATCGATCAATCATGATGTTGTTATTACTGTTGAGTCCAGAATTGAAATTACATGCTCAGAGTATTACAATGCAACTTAAATCCACGGAAAGGATACATTAAGGTTTATTACAATATAATTTTTGTGATCATTTTTTATTTGCAAAACATTCTGCAAAAAATGATACACAGTCACATTCACCAACCATGATGAACCTTGAATGTCTCAAGGTAACTTTGATAACCTCATTAATCGCTTAATTAGTGTAGCAAACATTTTAACTCACACACTCTGTTCAGTCTATCGACCCAAAGAGAGTCTTAAATGTAACCTAAAAAGGCTTCATTGTCCCATCAACAAGACTTCATCATTGGCATAAAACAGAGACGTTCAAAATTCCTAAACCTTCAAAATAAAATGAAGTCCAAAGTAAAGAAAATTGTTTCAATAAAATTCTTTGACAGGCAAAAAATTTGATAATCGTAACTCTATTGAATTTCCATATTTGACAGATTTCTGGCAACTTTCCCTGTACACCATGATGTGCTGATTTGATAAATGTCGTTCTACTGTTTTTATATCTTTTACCTTTTGATCCATTGATGGCTCAATTAGTATCAACATTTTTTTCCTTGGTTCTTCTTTTGTTGCCTCAAAATCACTTTTAACGGTCAACTGATCATTGAATTAAATTGAACCGGAAAATAGGTAAAATGGTGGACAAGCCAATCAAAGTGTACAATGTAGATAATTAGCCAATTAATTTGATTGAGGTTGAAAAGGTTTACTTTATCTGCTTTTTTTCTCTCACTCTCTTTACTAAACTTGAATTCATCTTGAAGCTTGATCCAGATACTATTACTCTCCTCTTTACCTTCACATTTATCCTGATAGTGAAACAATGTTTCCAACATTTTCACCATTCATGACAATAATCATTTAATCAACAATTTACTTATAATCTTTTCCCTTTTTCTTTTCTCATTCTCTGTTTACCCATTTTGTTGCCTTTTTCATCTATTTCTGTCCCATGTTTACATTTCCATTCTGAAACTTGTTTGTTTTTGTCTCATAATTTTTTCTTCCTCCCAGTTCATTCCCTGTTCTTCCAGCCTTTCACCTCTACTTACCATAATCACATGGATTTCATGAAAAATATTGACCCACTTTCTCGAGTCAAATAATGCCAATTATTGTATACAATCTTTTATCAATTGCTACAAGTAGATTTAGATTGGCTTATTGTTTTCTCCTGAAACCTCTTCCCTGAATCTATTTGAATCATTGCTTTTCCATTCTTTTTATCATCATCCATTGTAACATTATTTAACCATGTTTTATGTAAAATATTTACAAATATTTATTCACTGTCTCGAGTTTTACTTGGACAGTAATCGTGCACAGTGGTCATGAAACTGAACAACCATCATTTGCATATTTTTAAACTAATAATATGCAAAAGTTCTGATAATATTATACTATCAAA